CCTCAGCCACATAGTGATGACCTGTTGACAGAGACTAGAGTCTCCAAAACTCTGAGATCCTGAGAATCAACAATGTAGCGTTAACAAAAACAAAACAAAACAGAGAGGGGGAGAGAATATTTTTAAAGCATGTTACAATTGGGCACATCACATGGAAATCTCAGATCATAAAGACAAACCATCCTTTAAATTTCCAGGAGGAAACTCAGCTGTGAAGGAGAATGCCGTTGACGTGTGTTCTCAGTAAGATGCCCATGCACCAAGGTAAAGAGGCTGATGACAGTGGCTTCGCCTCTTTACCTTGTAAGCTTTTAATCTGCTATTTGCTTCTTGGTTCAACTATCACAATGTCGAAAAGTGTAATGTCTAAAAGACATTAGAAAACGTTCAGGACCAAAGAAGGTTCACCACTCGAAGATCAGCTTTAATGAGAACACTGGAAATTTGCCAGGATACAAACGTCCCCTTGCAGTAAACACATTAGAAGGGCATTGTGTGCTTTGAGATCCCATAAGAGAAAAGAATGGGTAATTGGCTTCGAGGTTTACTGTCATTTAAGTGATAAAGGATACAAAATACATTGGCTACATTTTAGATAATATTAAGAAACCAGGCAAGATTGGTGATGGTCAAAAGGAAAATACTACAGTATTATAGAGAAAAACAGAAATATAAGTCATAATAAGCTATGAGTAAACCAAAACACTCTAATAGTGCTTTCATATTAAAAGAAATAAACTTGGTCTTCTCAGCAGATAGGAGAAAAGGAGGGGAAGTAAAAACTCAGTTGCCACCAATCTGAGGCTAGCCTGGGCTACACAGTGAATGTTAGATCAACCAGAGCTACATAGGAAGACTCTGACTCAAAATAAATATAAATGAATGGATAGATAAATAAAACAAATTCATAAATAAGTAAATCAGGAAACGGCAAATAATGAAGACAGTTTAGGTGCCCCAATGGTTGGGAAACCTATCAATAAAAAAAATCTAAGAGCAGTAACAAAAGCAAAAAGAATAAAACAAAAATCTGGCTTTGAAAGGACTAAGATAGAACTGGTTAATATAAAAGAGAAAGACAGAACTAATATACAGAGTAATGAAGAAGATACATCTGTAGCTGCAAAAGGAGCATTAACACAATAAAAAGGGTATCGTGTCAATAAAAATGAAATGTCACTGGACGATGGTAATACACACTTTTAATTTCAGCACTCGGGAGGCAGAGACAGGTGGTTCTCAGTGACTTCAACGCCAGTCTGGTCTAGGGCTTAATGTATAGTAGGAACCTTAGCCAATGAAATAAACTCAAAAAGAGGACACGTCAGTTTTGAAAAGAAAGAGAACAAAATGTTATTAAATACACCCTCAAAAAAATTTACATAGGCTGGGCAGTGGTGTGCAGGTCTTTAATCCCAGTACTCGGGAGGCAGAGGCAGGTGAATCTCTGTGAGTTCGAGGTAAGTCTGATCTACAAAGGTAGACTATAGTAGGAGTATAGTAGGAGGAGTTGCTTGTTGGTCCCCGTGGCCCAGAATAGAAATAACCACACAGGAACCGTATTCATTAAATCACTGCTTGGCCCGTTAGCTCTAACTTCTTATTGGCTAACTCTTACATCTTAATTTAATCTATTTCTATTAATCTGTATATTACCACAAGGTCATGGCCTACCAGCAAAGTTCCAGCATGTCTATCTCTGGTGGCTCCATAGTGGCTCCAGACTCTGCCCTTCTTTTTCCCAGCATTCAGTTCAGTCCTCCCCGCCTACCTAAGTGCTGCCCTATCAACAAGCCAAGGCAGTTTCTTTATTCGTTAATGGTAATCACAGCACACAGAGGAGACTCCCACATCACAGGACAGCTAGGGTTGTTACACAGAGAAACCCTGTCTCAAAAATCCAAAAAGAAAAAAAAAGAAAAAGGAAAAAAAAAGAAAAGAAAAAAGGGGAGGAAAGAAATTTACACAGTACAAACCCAGAGCCAATAGGTAAACTAGTAGGTCTACTAAGAAAGTATCCTGGTACTATTGTAAACTAGTAAAAAGTAATAAAATATAAGTTGCAATTTATGGCAATTAAAAATGATTAATACATTAATTAAGAATTAATTCTTGGCCAGGTGGTGGTGGTGCATGCTTTTAACCACAGCACTTGGGAGGCAGAAGCAGGTGAATCGCTGAGTTCAAGGTTTACAAAGCAAATTTCCAGAACAGCCAAGGCCACACAGAGAAAACCTGTCTCGAAATGCCAGAAAGAAGGAAAGAAAGAAAGAGAGAGAGAGAGAGAGAGAGAGAGAAGGAAGGAAGGAAGGAAAGAAGGAAGGAAGGAGAATTAATTATTAATAAAATATACAAAACCTGTATGGTAAAATTTGTTACTTGTAGTTTCTTCTTTGGCACAGTGGCTGCACCTTAATCCACTGCTATTTCAGCCACTGTGACTCTGCAGGTACCGGCTGGCTTCTCTGGCAGTGGCTCGGTGCGAATTCTTTTCCCACATGCCCTGGTTTTGCCGCTGCCGATAAAGGTAGCTTTAACAGAATCTCTATTGTTCTATTTATAAATAAAACCCCAGACTCAAAGGCTGGGGTGAAAACCTGCTAGCTCAGGGAGGTTGAGTAGCAACTAGCTAACCTTCTCTCATTACTGGTATCTCCCCAAAAGCACAACCTTCTCCTCTACCAAAACAGAAAAGGCTATACCACTCAAAAGCCCTCCCTACTACTTCCTGTACATCTTTTTCTCTCTCACAGATGCCCTCTGATGCTCTCTGATTACTTTCTACCAACTAGTTGTTAACTCAGCCTCCTGACTCAAGGTTCATTTTATTTCATTTGCGCACACAAGAGAGGAAGAAGAGAAGAGAGAGGAAACAAAAATAGAGCACATGGTAACCAAGAGACTAAGGAGAAACCAGGAACCGAGACCCCAGAGCCATAGCCACAAGGCTAAGTTTACAAGGGAAAGAGAAGCTGGGAGAGAGAAAGCCCAGACCCTGGGCTGGAGAGGTTTAGGGTAGGGGGCAGGGTGAGAAATACTGGAAAGTACCACAAGTACTGAGTGAAACTTCCTCTCTTGGGTTGTCCTGTCCCATCCACCCCGTGTCATGTGCCTGTCCCCCTCCCATGGCCCTTTCAGTCTGCTGGCCCGGTTCAGCCTTGACCCTTCCAGATGACTGTAGCTGTTCTCTCCCTCATATCTACAATAAAACCTTCTCTTTCATCATTACCTTGGAGCAATCATGGCCTCATTTTCATTCACTGCGCAGCCCAGGCTGACCTCAAATTCTCAGTCCCCCTCAGTGGCTAAGGCTTCAGATAAATGCACCCACACTTGGCTTCTAACACGGCCTTAATTAATATTTATTTGTTTGTTTGTTTGCTTGCTTGCTTATTTCATAGGCACTGGTGATTGAACCGAGGCCTTGCACAGGCTAAGCAAGTGCTTCACCATTGAGCTACATGTCCAGCTGTTGCTTAACATTTTAAACCAGCAGAAAAATTCAAGAGGCCTTAAAGTCAGCACATCCAACCCTTCAGAAAAATGTGTCCATTCCTCCATAATTCCTGTGTGCAGGGAAGGCATGTCTCTGTGCATCATGTTCCCACAAGGGGGGCACAGCCATACTTGGATGGCACTTAGAACACAAGCAGGAATAGGACCACCCATGTGAAAACATCTGTAAAATAACCATGCATTGATACACACATGCAATGGAATTAGAACAATGAATTTATAGCATTCACACACACACCAAGAAACGGACAGTCCTGAAGGTCATTTATGTTAAGTGAAATTTATCTGATTCAGAAGGACAAACCACATTTTTCTCCTATGCAAAATCTAGATTTAAATTTATATGAATAAACACATACATACATTTGGAGGACATGAAAGTTCAGAAATCAGACTATGAGACAGGAGGAAGAGGTCTAAAATGGAAGCACAAACAGAGAAGGCAAAGGAATATATGCAGAAGGGAGTCTCTTTAGGGGACAGAGGGAGAAAGGGGGGGGCAGTACAATGGAAGGTCAAGAATGAAGTATTGGCCACATGTGATCATGTGTGCCTGTAATCCAAGCACTTGGGAGGCTGAGACAGGAAGTTTGAGTTTGAAGCTAGTTTGGGCTAGACTGAGATTCTGTCTCAAAAAAAAAAAAAAGAAAAAAGAAAAAGAAAAAAGAAAAGAAAGAAAAATGATGATTTAAGGTATAAAAAGGTCAGAATGAAACCCATTTCTCTGTATGCTAACCAACAAAATTATTTAAAAAAATAAATATTTTTATCCTGTTTATCAGAAGGCAGAGATGGCAAAGTGATTGCTGTATATATAGAATTGGGAAAAATCGGGAAAAACTGTGGCCAGCGGAAAGTCTGGCAGGAAGTCAGCCTAGCCCAAACTGGAGGGAAAGGAACCACAGGTGGGTCACAGACCTCATCAAGACCAAGACAGGGGGAGGACATGTTTGCTTCTTCAGTATCCTTAGATCTTGATTCCTCTGCTCAGACCCCTGCTCCACCCGGGACAACCAGGCTCAACAGAGGGTCCAGGTTAGTGTGTATCAACCACTCAACCACACCAGAAAGTGTGGTTTGTCCAAAGTCACACAACCATGGGACAGGGACTCTGGAGTCACTGCAGAACATTCTTCCCTCTCGATGAAGCAGCCCTTCCCAGTGTCCTGTTAGATGTTGCCAGCCAGGATCAGTGGTGGTGCCTCTGACCAGCCAGTCAGGAGACTGGATTCTGGCTGTCCAATCCCAAGATAGGAGAGTGACAGGTGAGCCGTGGCTTTGGAGCTTTTTATGAGTGTGCCTGAAGGCCGGGATATGGGGAGGGACTTCTCCAAGGCTTCAGTAGAGAAGATCCTGCTACCCAGATCAGAGGAGTCTCAAAGGCCTGCTAGAAACTGACACTTTCGATCAACACTTGCAGAGGTGGGGGCGGCGGAGAACTCTACCACCTTTCCGTCAGCTTGTTTTCTCCTATGTTCTTGTTTTCAAGGCAAGACATCCACGTATTCCTCGCTAGTGTTCTCTGGGGATAAGCAAAGGACAGCCATGAGATGTCACACCCAGAAGTCCCACTAGGCAGCCCGACTCGAGGGAAAGAGCACCATGCACAGAGTAGTGCCAATTCCACATCACAGAGACATCGTCAAAGGCTGCAGTGGCACTATGGAACTTGGCTGGCCAAATAGAGGTTTTGTGTTTTTCTGGGGGTTTTTTTGTTTTTGTTTTGTTTTGTTTGATAAGTGGAGCCTTAGTTTCTAATACTCAATGTCTGCCTTCACCAGTGAAAATCCCATGTAGCTCTGCACGGAGCTTATTCTAAGGAGACAAGAGGAAGGGAAGGAAGAATTCCAGCCATGGGAAGGCATTTCCCCGTTGGTAGCTAAGTACCTGGAGCACATTCCACCAGGTCTGATCACGCTTGAAAAATTCCTTGTACAGTTCTTGGGAAAGATCTATCCCAAGCCCATTCTCTACCAATTTCCAGGGATTTGGTAGCATTTTATTACAGCTTAGGCAATACTATTACCATCCCAGCCATCCCCAGCAACTCATCTTGATTTGCACTAGCATCTGACTTTGACACATTTATGCTTTCCTCTTCTTCCCCTTAACACTTTTGTGTGTAAGTGTGTATGCATGGACGCAGGTGTGTATGCATGGACGCAGGTGTGTATGCAGGTGTGTATACATGGGCGCAGGTGTGGACGCAGGTGTGTATGCAGGTGTGTATGCATGGACACAGGTGTGTATGCAGGTGTGTATGCATGGACGCAGGTGTGGACGCAGGTGTGTATGCAGGTATGTATGCATGGACGCAGGTGTGTATGCACATGAGTGCCTGTGTGTGTGGCCAGAGATTAGCCTTACATGTTGTTCTTCGGGTTCCATCTACCTTCTCTCTTGAAACAGAGCCTTCCCCTGGCTTGGAGCTCACCGGTTTGATGGTCAGGGCACTCCACAGATCTACCTGTGTCTGCCTCTTCAGCCTTGGGGTGGCAAGCTTGTGCCACCATGTCCAGATTTTTAAAACCATCACTTGTAGGGATCCAACTCAGGGTCTCACACAGTCAAGGCAAGCACTTTACCAACCAGGCTATTTCTCAAGACTTTTTATACTTCTGAATTCTGTAAATTTTTGTGGAAAAGAGAAGTAGGGCTGTGTCTGTGGCTGGGCCTGTAGGAAATGACCAGATTGTACTGATCACACAATCCCCCGAATGAAGGTGGATGTATGGGAACAATCGTATGGGACAGGTTTTCTTTTCATCATTAAAATCCCATGCTTCATCGTTTTAGAGAATTGAGAAGCTTATCACAGCAGCCTAAAGAGTGACTTTGTTCAGACAGAATAGCATGAATAGGGATGCTCAGACAGAATAGCATGGTTAGGGATGCTCAGACAGAATAGCATGGATAGGGATGCTCAGACAGAATAGCATGGTTAGGGATGCTCAGACAGAATAGCATGGACAGGGATGCTCACACAGAATAGCATGGATAGGGATGCTCAGACAGAATAGCATGGATAGGGATGCTCACACAGAATAGCATGGTTAGGGATGCTCAGACAGAATAGCATGGATAGGGATGCTCACACAGAATAGCATGGATAGGGATGCTCAGACAGAATAGCATGGTTAGGGATGCTCAGACAGAATAGCATGGTTAGGGATGCTCAGACAGAATAGCATGGATAGGGATGCTCACACAGAATAGCATGGATAGGGATGCTCAGACAGAATAGCATGGTTAGGGATGCTCACACAGAATAGCATGGATAGGGATGCTCACACAGAATAGCATGGATAGGGATGCTCACACAGAATAGCATGGTTAGGGATGCTCACACAGAATAGCATGGATAGGGATGCTCACACAGAATAGCATGGATAGGGATGCTCACACAGAATAGCATGGATAGGGATGCTCACACAGAATAGCATGGATAGGGATGCTCACACAGAATAGCATGGTTAGGGATGCTCACACAGAATAGCATGGATAGGGATGCTCACACAGAATAGCATGGATAGGGATGCTCACACAGAATAGCATGGATAGGGATGCTCACACAGAATAGCATGGATAGGGATGCTCACACAGAATAGCATGGATAGGGATGCTCAGACAGAATAGCATGGTTAGGGATGCTCACACAGAATAGCATGGATAGGGATGCTCACACGGAATAGCATGGATAGGGATGCTCACACAGAATAGCATGGTTAGAGATGCTCACACAGAATAGCAAGGATAGGGATGCTCACACGGAATAGCATGGATAGGGATGCTCACACAGAATAGCATGGATAGGGATGCTTCCAGGATCCCTGAGAACTCATGCCCTCTCACCCTTCCCTAGTTAGCAGACCTGCTGTCATTACCATTGCCACCCACAGACAACTGCAATCCCTCTGGCACAGAATGAAGCCACACACTTGGTCATGGGGAACTGGGTGGGACCAAAAATGTCTCTGGGTGTCTGTGTTTAATTCAAAATTCCCAAGAACGGGCAGATGCTAGATTCTCTCCAAATGCGCTGCAATGGGCAGATGACGAAGGTGAGGGTAAGCTTGGAATAGGATCTGCAAGTCCTGTGAGTAGACTTTACTCATAGGTACTGAAGCCCCCACCCCATGTATCACAATGGCTTCGTTCTTTTTGGGATATATATGAAATAATTTGTTCCTGATCATTTTACAATGAAAGCTTAGCAAAAATGGAGCAAAATGTAACAGAAGTCTTGGTGGGTGATTTAATATGATTTTTTTTTCAGTGAAAACCTGCCCATCTGTACATTTATTCCCATGAGTGGACTGCACATGGCCCCAGAATGAAGTCCACGTTAGCTTTTCGCTCAGGGCCTTCCCTCTCCCTATGAGAGGATGTGGGGTTTGGGGTCCGTTCTGACACTTTGTCAGGGCTCTTACCATAGACATTCAGCTCTAACGTCATCCTTCTTCCTCTTGGGCAGGAGCTCTTTCTCGTTATTGGGTTTGAAAGGTGAACCACCAGTCCTTGACCTGGCTTTTCAAATTTGGAGATTAGTTCCTCTAGGTTTGGAAAGATCTGTTTTGGTGCCCCTTCCACAGTCTGCAAAGACATAAGAAAGGTCACTGGTCACTGTGCGGCTGTGGGTGAAATGTGACACTTCTTGCAACAGTGGTTTTTTTTTTTTTTTTTTTTTTTTTAGGGTTGCTTTTGAGAGTTGAGTTGACAAGTGGAAAGCAAGAGGCTAGCAGGTCAGGCCCGGTGATCTCACCAACGGCCTTTCACAGAGAGGTTCCTCATTCTGGAAAGGAAGCTCGTGACCGAGCAACCCCTTATAAAGGGGAGATCTACTTAAAAGATCCTCGGCCACTGTGTTGAGTGAGCCCCCTCCTTGGCAATTCGTCCGGGGTGGTTCTTATTGTAGCCCTACTGGAGTCCCCTACCAGACTGTGCCGTGCTCCTGACCTTCGCTGAGTGAGGGGACTCCTGGAAGAAAATGCCAAATAATTGAGCTATAAGATGCATGTGGGCTCTCCATAGGGCGCACATAAAGAGAAACAAGTCCCAGTTTATATTGAGAGTAGGATGTCAACGTGACTTAGTGAAATCGCAGACCCGTTTTCCGGTTAGCAACCAGAATGGAAAAAAAAAATCAACTTTTCTGATAGGACCTTAAAAACAAGAAGAGTTTTTCTCTCCTGCCCTTTTGTGTATGGTTTCCTTGGTCGTCACTGTGGTGATCTATGGCCCGAGCATTGGCTAACAGATAGGGCTGGAAGGTTTTCTGAAGCACATGCTTAACCTCCATAGAGATGCAAACACTTCGGCATGTGTTCCTGTGTGAGCGTCGCTGCAGCTCGAAGGCCTGTGCAGGCCTGTGAGGGTACAACCTTCCCTCAGCCAAATGCTTCTCTGGATCCGAGTTATGAGCCGCGTGGAGAGCTCTCCAGTTTGTTCAGAAACATAAACAAGAGGGAGAAAGCAGGTTCTGAGGGAATATCCAGAATTCCCAAATGTATACAAGAAAAAAAGAAAAATGGCTTTCAAAATGGTCTACTTAATAGAAGGTATTTTATTTTGAGGTAAGTGCAGACAGACATGGGCAAATTGGAAAAATAGTAAAAGTAAAATTCCCATAAATTCTCCATTCATATACTACATAATAACATTTTGTTTGCCTTTTTATTCTCTCTAAAATAAATGGATATATATATATATATATATATATTGCTCTATTTTTGAAAAAAAAAAAGGTTTCATGTAGCCCAAGCTGACCTCAACTGATGATGACTTTGAACTTGTGAACCTCCTCCTTCTACCTCTTAAGTGTTAGGATTACAGACATGAGCCACCACAGCCAGTCTACATATGAACATTCTTTTTTAAAAATAGTTTTCAGGGCTGACCATTTGGTATGCAATAACCAGTCTGGTGTGATTTTTCTCCTCAGAAGACTGTTTCTCCCACTCTCGGCATCCTTCGGTTGCCTGCATTTCTTTATGTAGAGTTGAGGCCTCGGGAGTTTTCCGCCATCCTCATTAGTATTCTATCGGTGACATCCATATTGAATATGGATGTCAGTCATGTCAGTGAAAACTCATGGATACGAGTGACATAATGCAGTCTGAGTAGGTATACTTATGTGCTTAGGTGATGTGTGTGTGTGTGTGTGTGTGTGTGTGTGTGTGTGTGTGTGTGTGCGTGCGTGTGTGTATGTGTGTAACGACAATGTAAAAAGAGGCCATGAAAGAGAAAAAGGGTCTGGAGGGAGGAAAGGGCAGGGACCATGATGCAATTAAAGTATGATCTCAAAAAAATATTCAAAAGCCTTCGAAAAGTTGAAGGTATATTTCTTTAACTACTTCTAAGTATTTCAGTAGTCCAAAAAGCAAAGACACTGCATAACCATATTATAATGATTAAAATCAGAAAATTAACTTTCATGAAGTACTACTTACTAATCTTGTTTGAATTTTGAAACTAATTCAAATTTTATCAATTGCCTCGAGGATGTCTTCCACAGCAAAAAAGAGAAAAAAGAAAAAAAAAGATGCTTAGGTATTTTAGGGATCGCTGTATGTTTTAATCTCTTTCAGATATTCACAGTTACGTGAGCATATTGAAGATATTTCTCAGAATGTATTTTAGAATCTTATGGTGGTAATTAAGAATTCCATTACATTTGTTATACTTAAATTTCTTAAAGCGCATAACTAAATTCAAAAGAAGCAAAGAGATTTCCCTGTTGAGTTCACAGGGAACCAGAGAAACTAAAGGAGTCCCTAAAACTTCCAGCTACTTAATGGCTCCTATTCTATTTTCAGACAGCTGCGGATACGCTTGACTTTGGAACATCTGAGCTTCCAGCCACCTGCCTTCCCATTCCTGTCCTGGGATATGGTTTAGTTTTATAGAGCAGTTGTCAATGGTGTCCAGGTTCTTGGGACTGACCTTGATGGGAGTGGCTTGACTGTCTCTACAGTCTGGAGCAACAGCTAGGATTACTAAAGTGTGGAACTCCACTCCAGCACTGGCCTGTTTCTCTCAGAGACAGGTGACACTCGCTGCTTATTGAACTTGATGTGGTACTCCTGCTTGTAAAAATCTCCGCGTGGTCACATCAAAGATTCAGGAGATGACCCCAGCTTTCCCCTAATTCCCACACTGTTGTGTGACAGTCCTTATGCATTCTTACCTGTATCTTGTAATATCCATATTTCTCTCTGAAGATTCGGTAGGTGTAGACAAACTTTCTAAACCTATGGAAAGATGAGTTCGTAAATACTGATGTTCTTATATTCAAAACTCCGTGATGGCTGTCTATGCAGTTCAGACCCAATGTGTTTTTCCGTCTTAGATCCTAAGAAAGAAACTGACCATTCCTAGACTCTCTCATTTGAATTTGAATGAAAGAAAGCTTTGGAAACAGAGCCTCTTAGAGATAACAGAGTGTGAACTCTAGCAAAGAGGATGAGGAGGAAGATTTGAAGGTCCTTGCTTACATTTTGATCTTTATCAGAAAGTGCAACTACTTCATAATGAGAATCCTGCTCTTCTATTGTTTCTCCTCTCTTTCTCTAGCTCACTAATTCCACAATTTCTTGACCCATGAATTTTCCAATCCACCAATTTCTTCTCTCTTCTCTGTTCTCACCTATGTGCCCTAAACTCCTTCCTTGCTTGTTCTGGTTAATTTTTTGGTCACCTTGGCACAGCAAGGGTCCTCTGAAAAATGGAAACCTTAACTGAGAAAATGCTTTTATCAGATTGGCCTGTTTGAAAGTTGTAGGGCCTCTTCTTGATTAAAGATGGATGTAGGGGGGTAGACCCACTATGAGCTGTGCCTTCCCTGGGCAGGTCCTGTTACATATAAAAAAGATAGCTGCAGTTGGTTTAAACACACAGAGGAGAAACAGGATGATTCCTTCTGTGATGGCAAAAGAAACTCCATTTATGTTGGCCATCCATCGTGGTCCTGACTAGCTCCATTTACGATGGTCATCCATCTTGGTCCTGGCTAGCTTGTCTCTGATGCCTGTCCCTGGAAGATAGTTCCCAGGAACCCTGGCTCAGTGACCCCCTACCCCAAAATGTTCAGGCTCAGTGACCATCTACTTGTTATGATGTGTCTAACTGCCTTTTTTGGCTTCTAGAACCTGCTTCTGCTTTTTCTTGTCATTTCACTTTAAAAACCCTCCCCCACTCCCTTCTCATGGCAATCTCAGGGCTGACTCAGAGACTGTTCTCCTGCTAGCAGTTTTCACAAATTTAACTCCTTATTATCCAGATTGATTCTGTGGTCTTTTTCCAGGAGTCTTGAACTCCATAACACTTTTATTTCCCTGACTTATGTTGATATATATTTTTATAAAAACTCTTTAAATTTTCAAGGGCATATTCTTTTGTTGCAAATATTGTCTCACAATATTTAAAATAACATTACAAAGAAAGGAGGTGGTGGCACACACCTTTTATCCCAGCACGTGGGAGGCAGAGGCAGTGGATCCCTGTGAGTTCGAGGCCAGCCTGGGCTACAGAGTGAGTTCCAGGACAGGCTCCAAAGCTACGCAGAGAAATCCGGTCTCAAAAAAAAATAGCATTACAAAATAGCTTCTTTGAATATTTACCACTGTAGGAGAACATCATTTCACTGTGGTTCCCTAGTAGAGAAAGGTGGGCTATTTTAGAGTCGTGCATGCATCATTATCAAGTCAGTAGGAAATATTCTGAGTCTTGATAGCCTGGAGCAAGTTTTTTCTAGCCACAAATTACCACCCTACCCCACTCATCACTAATAATAACCATGTTTTTCCATATCTCATGTGAACTCACTGTTTTACATGTGAATATGCCAGATTTTTTTTTAAAGTAGTTGAACATGAGACTAAAGAGCAAATCAGTAAGCAGCATCCTTCCATGGTTCCTGCCTCTGCTCCTGCTTGAGTTCCTGCCCTGAATTCCCTCAGTGATGGACTGAGATCTGGACATATAAGCCAAATAAACTATTTTCTCCGAAGGTTACTTTTGGCCATGGTATTTATCACTGCAGTAGAAACCAAGCTAATATATTTATCCTTCTTAGATTATTTACTTAACATTATCACTATTTCCTTTAATACTCAGGTGATATATATAATTATGTGTGTGTGTGTGTACACATATATGTGTGTATATATGTATATATGTGTACACACACGTAATGATTTATGTGACTTTATAAGGAAGTGTAGCCTAATACAATGGTTTGGCTTACAAACTTCAACTTTATGATTTCTTTGGTTTATGTAGTATGAAAATAACATGCCAGTAGAAATTACACTTCAGATCTTGAAATTTCAATCAATATGCTATTTCCATCTCGTACCAGGCTTTTTCTTTTGGGTCACCAACCAGCTCCCAAATTGTGATACAGAGACATCTTGTTATGAAAGTTTGGCCTTGTCTTATGCTTGTCCCAATAGCTCTTATAACTTAATCTGTCTCTCTTCATCCACGTTTTAATGCAGTTTTTTTGGGGTTTTTTGTTTTTACATTTCTTTCCTTCTGTATATCTTACTTTTAGTGCTTCTCATGTGTGGTTGACTGGTGACTGCCTAGCTTTTGGCCCTGGGCATGTCCCTCTCCTCATCTCTTGTTCTTCTCTCCTTCTCTCTTCTCCTTGAGCCTAGATCTCTCTCCTATTTATTGTCTCTGCCTGCCAGCCCCACCTATCCATCTTCTGCCTAGCTATTGGCCATTCATCTCTTTATTACATCAATCAAGTGCCTTAGGCAGGCAAGGTGAAACAAATACAACACATCCCATCCTTACATCATTAAACAAATGCAGCATAAATGTAACAACACATCTTTGCCTAATTAAAAAAATATTCTACAACATTTCCCCTTTTGTCTAAATAAAAAGGAAAGGTTTTAACTTTGACATAGTAAAGCTATACATAGCAAGAATAATTATCAAGTGAGGATTACATTTATAATACTGAGTCCATTTGTGTTTGGCAAATTCAAAGGAAGTATTTTTTATCTTATCTTGGTGAGTTCAAAGTTTTGTACCTAAATTATTTTCTATCATAACTAAGGAAAACTGTAGCTATAAGTATCTAGTCTTCAGGCTGGACAGTGGTAGTGCATGCCTTTAATCCCAGCACTTGGGAGGCAGAAGCGGGCAGATCTCTGTGAGTTCAGGGCCAGCCTAGTCTACAAGAGCTAGTTCCAGGATAAGCTCCAAAGCTACAGAGAAACTCTGTCTTGGAATAAATAAATAAATAAATAAGCAGAAAGAAAAAAAGACTGCTTTAAAAAAAAAGTATCTAGTCTTCATCAAAGACCCCAGAAGGATATAATATTACCTGAGGAAACAGGAAGTATAGTACAAACCACCTCTAAGACTATAGAAATGGCAGATATCTGGCTGCCTGGGCAATCACCCAAGGTTCCTCAGCAGTGTTGGGGCATCTATCTTTGAGCCACAGTCCCACAGTCCTAGAATATCTGGCAGACTCTTCTATGAAGCAGAAATTTTAGAGGACTATTCCACCTAGTCTTGGCAATGTTCAGCAATCACTTTCCTGTGTATCTTGCAGAATGTCTGGCAGACTTTTCTATGAAGCAGGACTTTTGAAGGACTTCCTTACTTTGTCTTGGCAAAGTTCAACCATGTATTTTTTTCCTTTGTGTCCTGCCTGTCCAGTATGTACAGCATACTGTCAGCAGTCAAGGAAAGAGCAGTTTCCTGCCCAATTGTCTAGCTTTGCCACAGTGAAAGCAAACTCCGTATGGAGGTTCTTTGAGGTCCATCATACTTTTATGAAGTAGATTATTGCTGCTGGGAGTAGATGTGTCTTACTGTCATGAAAAATCTTAAGTGATCAATCACCTTAAATGCATATTCTGTAGGCCTTTGAAGTGTTCAAAGATCACCTATCTATCTAAAATATATCCCTGTATGATCTTGAAAACATGACAAGTTTTATTATTATAGATGACTACTAACCTACATTTTTTAATTGTATATTACATTTTAAAGTGAGCTTCATATGCATAATGCCTTAAACAAGGACAAAAACATACAGTATAACAAAAATAACTTTTTGTTTGCTTGCTTGTTTTTTTAAAATATTTATTTATTTATTTATTTATTTATTTATTAGTTATGTATACAATATTCTCTTGTGTGTATGCCTGCAGGCCAGAAGAGGGCACCAGACCTCATTACAGATGGTTGTGAGCCACCATGTGGTTGCTGGGAATTGAACTCAGGACCTTTGGAAAAGCAGGCAATGCTCTTAACCACTGAGCCATCTCTCCAGCCCTCTTTGTTTGTTTTTTGAGACAGTGTTTCTCTGTCCTGGAACTCACTTTATAGATAGACCAGGCTAGCCTAAAACTCAAAGATCCACCTGCCTCTGTCTCCTACCCCACTCACTTAAACTCCTAATAGTTCCAGAGAATCAATAATTTCCCTATGTTCCTCAGAAACAATTTTCTTCTTTATTTTTTCTCCTTAAATCCATCATCTGCCTTTTTTATGCATATGGATGTTTTTCTTGTGTGTTGATTTGTGTACCACATACATATCTGGTGCCAAGATAGCCAGTACTCTCAGTTGCTGGGTGGAGGGAGAAATATTTTTGAAGGTGGTAGACTTTATAGGTTTTACTTTCCAATTACATTTAATTTTTCCAGGGTAATATATGCATGCAGTTTAAAAGTCAACTATAAAATTTATAACCAAATTTGGCAGTTTCCTGCCTATTTTTCCATTCTCAGTATCAGGCACTGCTCCTTGCCCAGTCCTTCCTGTCTCTCTTAGTACCTTTTTGTACTTGCCTTATTTCAAAATCTTGTACACAGACTTGTTAACTGCCTTCTTTGAAAATATTGTCTCTAATTTTAGAGGGCTTATCTTTTGTGCACTTCTGCCTCTTCTTACTGTCTCTGCTTTCTCTTCTCAGCTATCACATAATTTTTAAGTAAGTTAATATTAAATGTTAACATTATGATGACATTATAAATACTGTTTCAGCCTAGCTAGATAATGTACCATGATTTCTGTTTCCTTGTGGAACAACATTCCTTTTCTTTAGAGAGTCTTATTGATTGCTCTTATGTTCTCTGTGAGAAATGGGAACGGAGAGAAGGAAAGCAATCAGAAGAGAATCCCAGCCTTCTACCATGTGCTCACCAATATTGCTTCTCAGATATTGCCACACCCATGAATGTCACACCCGTCAATCACATCCATCACTGTCACACCCACC